TTATTTGGAGGCCGGGCAAGATTTGGGGTCTACAATCATTTTCAACGATAAATATTTGATTATATCTAGAATATTCATCTAAAAGTCTTAACATTTCATTTCTCACTACAACATCGATTAAAATTTTATCATTTGGCATAGGATATTCATCCTTAGGTGTTACTTTATTTAAATCTCAAAAATCAATACATATTCTCATTTTTCTATTTTGTCTTAATAACAAAAACAATACTATAAAACTAATCGACATACCTGTCATTTTGATAAATTTTCCTTTCAACAACCTTTCAATTTCATCTTTAATTTTGTTCATGATCTCTGGTGCAAATTTTTGAGGAGCTTTGTTGATAGGTTGCTTACCTTCGATTATTGGTAATTGATATTCCACTAAATTTTGATCCAAACCTGGCATTTCATCTAATCTCAAGTAAACCATCTTTATACTCCTTGAGCATATTTATCAAATATACTTTCATCTCTACACTTAATAACTTGCTCACATAAATAGGCCTTATTTCATTTTCTTCACCCAAGTTGACTTCTTCTAATGGATCTTGTGCTTCAACTTTATTACTCCTTGCTGTAATTGATTCTTTAAAACCTAAAGGCGAGAAATCATAAATACAATTCAACTTAATATCACTATTTAGTGGATTATTATTGTAACCTAATGTCGATATAATCAACTTATTTGATTCTTTCCTACTCCTACTTACAATTTCCTGACTCTTCCACAATCATAATGGATCTACATAACTTTGTAGTCGAGTAAAAAAGAAAATTTATAACAGGGCTTAGTCATTTCCCCCGACCATTTTGAGGTTGGCCTCCTCCTTTAGTAGAAATCTCTTTCGGGGTCCATCTTAACAAACTATGTCTTGCGCATCTTCGAGTTAAAATCTTTAGGAGTCTTGAATGTGAAAGGCTTGGTCAACGCTAAGTTCTTTAAAGGTTGGCCTGCATGAGACACATATGCCAAAGTTAGTTTGATCACCTTGAATTAGCTTTAGATGACCATCTCAATTCCATATGTATAACTTTTGATGAGTAGTTGATGGTATTACCCCTATACCATGTATCCATTCCCTTCCCAATAATACATTGAAATTTGCATAAGACTCTACTTCAACGACCACTATGGTTCTTGTGTAGGTTGCCCACCGTCACATCGAGAGTTATCATCCCTTCTGACCTTGATGAGTTTCCACTAAAATCTGATACCAAAATGTTGTTCTTTATTAAGTCTTTCTCCTTCTTACCGAACCTCTTTAACATCGATTTCAACAATATGTTTACTATTGCCCCTTCATCAATAAGGACTTTGTTTACTTAACATATTTAATTTCTATTTTCAGCATAAGAGGCTTCAAATGAAATCTCATCTCCTCACTAGGGGGTTAATAAGAGAAACATCTCAATGGGTGACTCACATGATACTTGAGTAACCCATACAACTTTAGGGGTCAGAGTTGGTTCATAGTAATCCTCTCGATTCGAATCTTGCCTCCTCTGATCCTCCTCATATTGATATACGTATTTGTTGGACAAAATCGATATAACTCCCACATTGATATTCCATGGGCAAAGATTTGAGTTCAAGTCTTCTCCTTGATTGATCAAAGTGCTTTGAGTACACTTTATCACTCTGGCTCAATCCACATTTATCCATGGGTCCAACTTTCGATATGCTATTCCAAAATGGTTGCAAAACATTACTCCTCATCCAATGACCTCCCCGACAGAATCCTTTTGGATACTTAAGGTAACAGGTATAAAAATTCAAGTTGTATGACAATCTATCGAACACATTTCTATTCCTTGAACCATACATACCTCAATGGTGAAACATTCTTCCTCCTACCCACTTATCTTGATTTACTTTTGCATAAGGCAGGAAGCTTCTATATTGCTTATGATCATCCTTTAATGTAATTTGAAGTTCTTTATCTTGATAATCTACGCTTTGATGCTTCTGCTTCTCATTTGATGTAATTTGATGCTCATCTTGATTATCTTGATCATCCTTTAATGTAATTTGATGCTTATGATCAAATCTTCCTATTTGATTCAAACTTCTTGGCAGCGGCTTTATCAAATACAACAGTAGATCTTGAGGCATAAAGCAACCTCCTCATCTTTTTCTTTCTTTATCATCTATTTTATGATATATTTCATTTCCTATCTCAAAATCTTCCACCTATAACTCAAAGTTCTCCTTAGCATCATCGAGCTTTACATGGTGTGGATTAGCATCATCTATAGTAATATCCACCATATAAATTCCTATATTATTGTCATCATTTTTAACACCATCAATAGTGTTAAGTTTAACTTCCACATAATCAACATGAGCCTTAAAAGGATTCATGTCCACCTTCATCGATCTCTCCTCAAACTTCAGTCTATCCTGTTCAATGACATATTGTATTGTATTCCTAAAATAGATACAATTATTAATCCAATGACCATATATATTATGAAACTTACAATATTTTCTTCCTTTTCTTTGCTCTAAAGTAGGTAACTTATGATCATAAATCAACTTTATTTATCTATCTTTTAACAAAATATCGAAAATCTGATCAACTTTAGTTACATCAAAACTATAAGTTTGATCGGTAATCTTATCTGAAGTCTCACTTTTTTGTAACAATTTACAAACATAAGATAGACCAACTTTAATTTCAACAACATTTACTTCTCCATTTTCACTCAATTCCTCATCTTTGTCCCCTCTAAAATATCAAGTAATTCATTATTAAATGTACTATATCTAATATATCTGATTTTATCATTTTTCACTACCTTCCTAAATTTATGATATCGCTCTTTCTCGGGCATAATCTATTTGATCCTTTGAACCTTATCAACTACTTGAGTCATATCCCTCAATGGAAAATTAACTAAGTTTTCCTTATTGAAAATTTTAACCATATTGTTGCCATTCTCACCAATTCACTCTCAGGGATTTGTGTGAAACATTTATATTTCATTTGCCTGAATCTATTCAAATAATCATCAATACTTTCATTGTGATATCTTTTTACGTTCATTAAATCAATTAGACTAACTTGTGTTTTCCGTCTAAAGAATTGTTCATGAAAGCTTCTTTCTAATTGTGTTCAGTTAAAAATTGATTTAGGAGGAAGTGTTATAAACCATGTAAAAGCATTTTTGTAAAGAGGTAGGAAAATATTTCATTATCAGACTTTGATTTATTAGAGGATTTTCACATGCAATTTGATTCAACAGTGGATTCCCAGTATCACCTAAGAGTTTTGTATATTTTGGTATATTTCTATCCTTTGGGAAACTTAGCCTCAAGAACAAAAACAGGAAATGGTGAAACAAAATATGGTTGGTTATACAATCTCATTCCCAGATCAGGCTGATTATTCCACTATCCTACAATTTGATTATAAGCATTATGTTAATAATTTCTATTTTTTTTTGTATTCCTACGTATATTGTCCCACATTTGTACAATTTGATCTGCAACTCTACCATATTAACAATTCGAATATTCCTTAGTTGATTTTGATTTCCTTGAACATTTCGAATATTATTTTGTCCCTGATGTTCACCTTGGTTATTTTCTACTTGTAAATTATCATTTTGTAAGTTATTCCTTTTAAGAACAACGTGTGCATCTCCTATCCTCACCATTTGTTTGGCTAATCTTTGAAAACTATCGACTATAGTTTGTATTAGAGGGTTTAAAATTGTGGTTGTTTGCCGAGATAACAAGTTTAGTATTTTATGATTACTATCATCTATTTGTTGTCTTATTACTTTTAATGAATTACTCCATATTCTCGTGCTTATATTTTCGATGTCAAGTTTATTTCTATTGTATTTCATTTTCCAATTTAACTTGTTCTGACTTCGATCATTCATTCTACTAAAATTTTGGGTTGGTTTCCATGGAGGCATTCCCCATGGATATCGCTCTACTACTGGTACTCCATGACTATTTGTTTGCATTGATGTTCTTCCATTCATATTAGTATGCCCCCTAACATAATAGGTCTATTTGTTGTTACATGTGATTTGACATAAGCACTACTTATAGGATTATTTGTTGGTTATATATTGATGATCCTTAACTACTTTGACTACCATTATTGTTCTGTTCAATAATAATGCCTTGAACATTCTCACTCATGCTATTTGGTGCAACACTAGATATTAACACAGAACTAGGTGCAAAACTCGGTGTATTTTGACTTGCTATAAGTACTCTACGACTTCTCAATCTCATACACTGTTATTTCTCATTTAAATGCTCTAGAAAGTAATCAACATATGTATGTCCCACTAGGCATGCCAATTTGAATTGTAAAATGGTTCCCTATTCAATTAATATTGTCTTACCCAAGTTTGCAATGACCGTAATAAACCATTTAAAGACTATGTGGATTATTTTAATTTTGACTAGCAAGCGCAAATGCTTTTCAATTTTAGAGGATTATAATTAAATTATCACTAATCACTCGATAATTACAATAAGACAAATTTTTATTAATGATGCTCCATATATAATTTGGAGTTTAATACAAGTTGTAATATTTAAAGTAAATTGCAAGAAAGATAAAAGTACAATGAAAATAAATTGTTGAAAAATAAATGTGTCAAGGAAAGTAAATTACAAAAAGATAAATTGAACCCACTACCAAGGATAAAATAGAATTTGGTAAGAAAATCAACTAAGATGGCAATCCAAATTACAAAAAACTCCATTGAAAAAGCTTATCTTGTGTTTGCAATGTTTTTCATAATGTAAGTCTTAACAAAATTTGAAAATCACCTCTTTTACATTTATTTCACCTTATTTATATTTTTCTTGTCTAACCGCTAAGACACTTAAAAATAAAAATAAGAAAAAATAAAATAAAATCAACACAAACAGTTATTTTCCTATAATTGTTCCCTATTTTCTCAATCTATTTTGTTGCCACGTAATACTTATAACCACACATGTCACATAATGGAACCATAACTGCTTCTACATATCTCTCGATTGCATAACTCCTTCTTGATGTCTTGTTTCTTGTGATTTCATAGGCCTTGACTTGACATTCCCAAGTCTTCGATTCTAGATGTTTGATTGACCATTCCATATCTTCGATTGACTTCTGTTTGTTCAAGTCAATCATTCCTCTCGATAATATGCCCTTTTCAAGCATTTCTTGACCACAAGCATTAATATTAATTTGTAGTTTCGATTTATATATTTCAATTGATTGCTCTCTTAAACTATTCTTACCCTTATCGACTGTTTTAGTCTCAATATTCAATCCTAGTCAACTTTGATTTCCTTCTTCCATTATCATTCTTTTTTTCTACAAAACTCCAATACTTCCTAATTTATTTTTTTCGATATATTTGTAAATTTGTCAATAACAATCGTGATGGTTTCTAATTATTCAGCCTATATCCATTTTATGAAGTAGTCAACCGCTACAAGGAGAAATTTTCATTGTCCTCTAGTCGGTGGTAAGGGGGCGGAGATATCCATTCCCTATATTGCAAATGGCCATGACGATGTTACATTATACAATCCCTTCGAGAGCGTGTGTGAAAGGTTGTCGTGGCCCTGACATTGGTCGCATTTTTTCACATAATTCGCATAGTCTCCCTGGCAGAAGTATCCTGCTCGGAGTACCCTGGCAACCATATTTTGTCCTTCACAATGTAGCCTGCATATTCCATTATGAAATTTTTTTCCGTATGTATTCGGCCTACCCGAGACTAAACATTTTTGCATGGGGGAGGTGGATCCTCTTCTATCTAGTTTGTCACTATTCAGTGCATAGCATGCAGACATTCTTTAAACTTTTTGTTCTCACATTGTGTCCCTTGTTAGGGTTTCGCTCTGTAGATAGGTGGTGATTAGTGTCATCCACGTATGCTCAGTGTTAACGGCCAAGAATTCGGTGTCGTCAAATTAAGGGCTTGCCACCACCTATTGTATTACTATATTACACCCCCCCCCCCTTTGTTCATTAGTACTTGCCTGCTTCGAGAGGAAGTCCACCCAAGCATTTTCTTCTTGGTGTATGTACACAAACTTACTTTCTAGGAAACCTACCGATAGTCCGATCATTTTGTGGTAGTATCTTATCAACAATGGTTCTTTGACTACATATTCCACTAAAATGTGTCCTACTGTGAGTTGTGATTCAGTTCGACACTCAATTTTGGTTGCTCCCATTTCTTTTGCAAGCAATAGGCCTACTATGAGGGTTTCGTACTCCACTTGGTTATTTAAAGCTTTAAAATTGAATCGCAATGATTGTTCTATCATTAGGTTTCTTGGTCATTCTAACACTATCCCTGCTCCTCCTCCCTTTTGGTTAGAGGATCCGTTTGTGTGGAGAACCCACCATGGGTTCTTCTTAGATCTCTGGTCACAACTCATTGATGAAGTCAACAAGGCACTGTGCTTTGATTGAGCATCTCAACTCATATTTGATGTTGAACTCAGAGAACTCTATGAACCATATAGTCATTTGTCCAACCAACTCTAGTTTTTTTTAATACTTTGGCAATGGGATGGTTGGTGCGATTAATAATTTGGTTACTCTGGAAATATTTCCAAAGTCTCCTTCCTAGAATTACGAATTCTAGTGTGACCTTCTCAATCATTTGATATTGTGTTTTCGGCTCTTGTAGGATATGGATGACATAGTAGACCAGTCTTTGCTTGTATTTTTTTTCCTATATGAGGACAACCGAGATTGCACTTTCGGCACCGCGATGTATAGTAACAATGGGAGGTTGGGGTCTGCTTGTGTAGGATTGGCGGGGGAAGCCAGGAATTGTATGATATCTGAGAATATCAACTCACATTATGTGTCCCAATTGAACTTTTGCGACTTCTTCATTAGTCGGATGATGGGCTTTGTATTTTCTACCAACCTTGGTGTTAGATATTGTTTAGATATTATTTGATATTGTTAAGATATTGTTAGATATTGTTAACCACAATATCAAACAATATCTTCTATTTATTCTGTTACTTTCAGTTACTCTTTTAGTTGTATCTCAAACTCTATTTCTTCTATATTCAACACTTGGTATAAATATTGACAAGGAAGTGAGTCTTTCGATCAATCGTTGCACCTCCCTTAGGTTTTGTGGACTTCTCATTTCGATCAAGGCTTGACACTTATAAAGATTTTCCTTTACTCCTTGTTGGGTTCACATGAATTCGAGGAATTTCCCCCCTTCTATTCCAAGAACACATTTCTCTAGGTTGAGTCGCATGTTAAATTTTCTCAATGCTACAAAGACTTTGACAAAGTAAGCTAGGTGTTGGTGGAATGTGTTGGACTTAACGACCATGTCCTCAACATACACTTCAATCTTTCTTCCTATGAACTCTTTAAAGACTTTGTAGATTAGTCTCTGGTACATTGCCTCGACATTTTTTAGGCCAAATGACATTACCTGATAGCAGTAGTTGGCATTATCAATTGTGAATGTGTTTTTTTCAACATCTTGATGGTACATCTCGATCTAGTTGTACCCAGAGTAGGTGATATGAATCACAAGGGGTGATTTAGGATCTTTAGGGTTAGAACCTTGTAAGAAATTTAGGAATTTAGTGATAAGGTGGAAGGAAAGAATCACTCTTTCCAAGGAAGGCAACTCACAAAGGATGTGAAAGTCCTTTGATACAACCAAGGGTTCTTGAATCACTCAAGAATTTAGGAGAATCACTCTCACTAAGATAAGAGAGATAAACTCTAATAGTTCTGAATAAAATTTCACTTGTTATTTTTGATAAAAATGGTTCAGCCTATATAGAAGCTTTGTCATCAGAATTACAAAGATTTAATAAAGGAAAATAAATGTTAATAATGATTCATTAACCTAGGAATTGAAAACTAGTTAATGGAGACAAATAAAGGCTAATAATGATCCATTAACCTAGGAATTGAAAACTACTTAATGATTGATTGTAACTGAAATTGTGGTATCCAAAAGTCAATCAGCTATACACCATCTTGGTCTCCCAAAGACTGATAACTAAATTTCCAATTGGGCCCTTATTTCAACTTGCAATAAAACCAAACTAAAGTCCATTAATTGATTAATCCAAAACACAATTTGGTCAACCAACAATAATTGTTGAAGAGCTTCCTTTGTTTCTCTTGCTCTAGCTCTTATCATAGGTCATGTTCACATCCGTAGACGTCGAGAAAGGTCAGGAATTTGTGTCCAATTGCCCGAGGCTATCTATATTCAGGAGCAGATATGCATCTTTGGGGCATGCCTTGTTGAGGTCGGTATAGTCGGTGCACATGCGCCATTTTGTCTGTTTGGTTTTTTTACTAAAACCATGTTGACGAACAACATGGTGTATTGAACTTCTTTAATGAACCCTGCTTTTAGTAGTTTTTGGACTTCTTCGTTGATAGCATTTCTCCTGTCACCCCCTAGTTTTCTTTTCTTTTGGGCCAGTAGGCACAACCATCCATGCGAAAAGGTCTGCGTTGTCTTTCAAGAAATTCTCCAAGAGGTGACTATCATGGTCATCGAGGGGGGATCTTGTTCTCGTGTTTTGGCCTAACTACCCTAGTTGGAACAAGCTGGTTTCTTCGCGAGGTTCTACCCAACGCTCGTTGTTCATGTGTGGGTCGAGGTCAATTAGAATAGTCAGGTTTTTTTCAACTTCTTTTGTGTACGTTGTGGTGATGCTACCAGTTAACCTTAAGTTTGTCGCATAGTATTCTCATGTCGCCCTCTGGTCCACATGTATCATGTCGATGTTGCCAGATAGTGTTGGGAACTTCATGGCCAAGTGGGGGGTTAACACTATTGCCCCCAAAGCATTAAAGGATGGCCTTCTGAGGAGTACATTATAGGAGGCATTAGCGTCAACTATCAAGTACCTGACCTTGATCATTTTATAACTAGTGTTGTCTTCTTTAAACTTTGTAAAAATATCGATGTACCCTTTTGTGTCCATTCTCTCCCTTGAGAATCCCACTATCTGTTCGTCATATGGTTGGATGGCATCTTCAGCTAGCTCTAGTTGCTTGAACGTTTTCCAATAAAGTATGTCCACAGCCCTCCCCTGGTCAATCAATGTCTTCCTTACCATGAAATTTTCCAGTTTCACAGTTATTATTATGGGGTTGTCTTGGTTATCTGGCAACATTTTTTTTTCTTTGCCTCTAGGAGGTGGCATTGACCGATTGGACTATCTGCAAGTGTCATTTTTTGGCTGAGGATGGTATTCTGCCTCCAGCGAATTCCCCTACTATCGTATTAATGACCCCTCTAATGGGGCGATAGCCGACTCGCATTCATCGGTGCGACTTTCAGTATTGCATGCTCGATGTTGGTGTAGGTCGTTTATGCGACTACCCTCCTGGCAGTCTTTGTTGCTCCTATTTTCCTCGCGTTATTGGTAGCTTTGGTGTTTTCCTTTTCGCACAAATCTTTGCAAGTTTCCAACTTGTATAAACTCTTCTATCTTATCTTTCAAGGCGATGCAATCGTTATTGGGTACCCATTACCTACAATGCTTTCTATGATCGGCATTGGGTGGTGTCAGTACCTTCCGTGATGCTGTTAAGAGACTAACATTTAAAGCTTCTTCTAGAATTCTTGCTCTATTGGTGTTAAGGGGTGTGTATCGCAAGAACCTTGGTCCACGAGGTTCTCGTACTCTAGGTTGCGCAACACCTTTAACTTTCTCCCTTTCGGGCTCCCTCCTTTCCGACACGGTCTCTGCCCTTACTTAGTTTATAAACTCCTTTAACTCTTCTAAATGCATATATTTGGCTACACAACTTCTCAACTTGTCCATTATTGTTTTTGGCTTCTTACCTAAGTTGTCTGAGAACGGTCTGGTTTTAAGTGTTATCACCATGTGGTGAAGGGCGACTTCGGTGTTTAAATTGTGTATGTTCAGCGCTACTTTTCCAAACCGCTCCATGAGGCCCTTAGCGACTCCCCCTTTTCTTATCTTATGTTGATCAAGGCTATAAAGGTAAGACGATAAGGTCGACTTGTGGAAAATTGTGTGCCAAATTTTGTTATCAGTGTTTCAAAGCAATCGATCAAGTTCGGGGGGAGTCGAGTGAACCAACTTAGGATCGAGCCTTTGAGTAAGGTGGGGAATACTCGGCACAGTATTGCGTCCTCTGTTGTGCACAAACCCACTTGGGTCACATATATACTAATGTGTACATCTGGATCCGTTGATCTGTCATACCTTTCAACGGAGAGGTTTTTCCACATTGTTGGCAAAGGTGTGTCAATAATTCCTTAAATAAGCGGGTGCCTCTAGTGCCCACCTATTTGTGTTTGCATCGATGAGAAGGATACTTCGCGATGATGATTATCCACTTTGAGCATTTTATCATGTATGTCCTGGGATAGCTTCAGGATAGCTTGTTTAGGGTTTCCTCTGGTACTAGAGGTGAGGTCGTTGGCCTTTGTTGTGACGATGCTTCATAGTCTGTTTTTGTCGTATATATGCTCATTTTCATTCTTGAGTGTATTCAGCTCTTCTACACTTCTATTCTTGAATTTTTTTGAGGACCCTTCTTAGCTCTACTATCATAGCTCGCCCACTAGCATGAGTGATGATTGTCGTTCGCTAGTCTTCATATTTCTATTTCTTGTCATTACCATCTAGTAGTTGGGATACCACTCAGTTCCATGGTGGACACCAAATGTTCTTATAGGGTCAAGGACAACCTATAATACTCAGATGGTTTGCTTGAATATTACTGTGTTGTCTCCTTGTCGGTTTGGTATCTTTTCAGAAAGAGGGGGTCATCTTCACTAAGTCTTTACCAGAGGGTGGTCGGGGAACATGTAGAAGACACTCTGACACTCAAGTCAGTAGATGAATAAAAGGTGTAATAAAGATTTTGGATTCGAAGCATATCCTGGGACCTTTGTCTATTTATAATATTATATATGGGTTATTTTCATGGACCTTGAACTTTAGATTGTCTTGCCTTGACTAGACGCAAGTAGTTATGTGTTCCACCTTTGCACAATACAATGTTCTTGTTCTAGGTTGAGTGTTGATGTAGCTGAAGTCGTATGTCTATATACACGTTGTCATACACTTATTATATACGTACACTATATTTAGAATAAAATAAAAATATATTAAGTTATTATTTTAATTTAGGTAATTATAATTTAAATATAATTAATATTTAATATTTTATCATATTTTATTTTATATATAAATAAAATACATGAATAAAAGATATAACTTATATTTCATATATAAAAATATATGTACCCAACAACCTAAAAATTTTTATCCTTAGAGATTTTCATCGGTGTAATAGTCATTGAGAGATTAATGCACCTCACACTAGCAAAACTTTATTTATGGCACACCATAATTGTATGTTATATATTTAGAGGAATAATATTTTGAGTTGGTATTCAAAATCTAACTAATTTAAAATAAAAATAAAAAACTGATTAAAAAATAAAAATTCAATCAACACTGAAATTGTTTAAGTTTTTTAAATTAATTGATTTGATTTTCAATTTAACATTTAAAAAATATCTCAAAATCAAATTAAATTTATGAATATCACAATTAATTATATATCAATTTTTTATAATATATTTATTTATTTAATAATTATTTTATTATAATAAATTTAATAATTTTATAATAAAAGAAAAATTTATCCAAATCAAACCACAAGGTTTAATTTTATTCACACTGTTTTAAATTTTAAAATCAAATTTATATTTAAAATCTATCCCAATCAGACTGTTTTATTCACGTTTTAATACAAACCTGACTTAAACTATGACTATATAATTCACCCTTGCCACAAAATCACGAACTTCGTGTTTTTTTTTACCTCAAATTTCCTTTTCTGTATTAGAAGTTAACATTTATAAGATTGTTCAAATTTTATAGATCAACTTCTCTGCACTTTTTATTGACCATGTAACCTAACAAATTTTTTTTATTTTATTTTACACCAAAAATATATTTAACAAGATTTAACCCAAACTCACATTTTCTTAAATGATCAAATAACTTTGATTGAACACCATAATTTAATACAAAACCCTAAACACCCTAATTGATAAAACACCCCTAATTGAAAGAGCATACCATAAATTCATATAATCCGGTGTGAAGTTCAATGAAATTAGAATTATTATTTCCAAAATATTTGTGTACTTACCAAATGGTATCCGGATGGACTGAGACAATATGTTTAAAAACCACCATTAATTTCAACCCTCCCGACATTGTTAATATCATACATGTAAAGTATCTAGGTCCCCATAGATTAAAAGAATTTTTCTTTAAAAGCTATCTTAATTCTCAATTTCTGAATGATGTAGGTCCTTTCACATACCAACACATTATGTGTATTAGAATAAGTTCTATACATAGCCATTCAATTATGAGTCGTCAAATAATTAAAAATTATTGGCTTGTCATAATTAATGATTTCTATTTAATTGAAAATAAAAAATCTTTACAGAGTGTGTATCAAAATTTATCTTTATTGGCATCTATATCTCTAAATTGTCATGTGTACTCGTTCATGATTTAATTTCAGGTGTTGGAACCCAAATTCACATCCTCCTTGATGGTACCTGAATTTTCACCCATATCAAGTGCAAATGGCTCAACAGGTGTAACAGTTGATGGGAGGCTCAAGTGGCTATCAGAATCCCTAGTGCAAGAAATAGCTCTGGGAACCCCATTGACACCCTTTTGATGTGTTTCACAATGCTTCACATCCTCTGTTGTTGATGAGAGGGTTCCTAAGGTTGGGGGATCCACATCCATAGCACAATCTATACCACCTTTATCTAAAATATTATCTTCAATCTTATGATTATTACAAAAAACACCATTTTCAGAAGCTGAAATCTCATTTCCTGCTGTAGCCAAGCCCATATCTTTGTTCTCTTCCAACACGTCACTTGGAACGGTATCGTGCAACACAGGAGGGTTAACACAAGTTGATGATGGATCAACATCCATGTCAGCAGGCACAGTGTCCTCTCCAGCACTCTCAAAACGTTTGTCATTCATTGCATTCACACATCCAGGAGCTTCATTTGAATCATCTCTATCCTCACAGTCATCACCATCCAAAGATAAAACATCATTGATGACGTGCTTCTTAATGACCTCCCGACCCCGGTTAGCTGAGACAACCCTAAAACTTTCCAGTGGAATGTCAATTTCAATCCGTTTCTCGATAGGATCTGTGACAGTCTGAACACTTTCTTTATCCAGTAGAGTATTTAACTGCATTTGAACTGAAACTGCCAATGACATGGCGTGATCACGGATTAAGGAATCAAACGGGGGGCAATGCAACATCTTATTTAGTGCCTGGTGATACTGAAATAAGGTGGCAGATGGTAAAATGGACCCTCTCTTTCGACAGATACTAAGAACTTTCAAAATATGCTCACAAAGGTTGCCATCTTGTGCCCAACTACAATCACAAATACTCAACATTGAACCTACATTCCTGACAACAAAAATTTTATCTCGATCATTTTGATTAGTGACCTTAGCACATCCATCTTCTATTAAGACATCGGTGTCTGGAATTTTCAGTGCTTTGCGCCATGATGTCAAACCACTCATCCATTCATTTTTCCAGTATCGTGCAAAATCATCTTTTCCTGAGTACTCATCCAGCCAGAAATAAGAATGTACTTTTGTACCCAACTTGTCGACCAACCAATCTGCCCGCTCATAAACACCAATGTCTTTCTCATTCAACAGCCTGATCTTCAATTGGTTGTGGTAAAATTCCATAGCTGCACAAGACTCCTGGCTAGCAAGAGGAAGAGTATGAAGTGCATTGATCCATGCTCCTATATCAAAGGGACAAAATAATTTTAATGTACATTAGTTATCATAACAAATTCATATTATAAAAATATCCCATAAAAGCATTATGATTTTATCCTAAACCTGATTGACATTACATTAACAGATAGATATTCAGGCAATAACATCCTGCAAATATAATAAGTTTACCAAAACAAACAGCAACAGTCACATACAATTAGTAAGTACATACTATGCAGTGGTTTTGCCCATCCAATAAGAGCAAGCCTTTTTAAAACATACTCTACCGTTAAATTACGTAAATGTCACAACATGATTAAAGTCATATTTCAAAACCATTATATTTGATGATTGATAATATTCACCACAATAATATATTGGCAACAATCAAGTTGACCAACTCTGCTCTCATGGTAACAAAATCTTTACCATAATATGAATGAATCCATATTATTTAGAAAAATCATTACCATCTTCACCGAAAATATCATTTGAGAAATAAAATTTTATAATTATAGCTAATTAAGTTGATTGCTTTATTAATATGCTATATTATAAATGGGCCTGTGGGTGTGACTAAACTCTCAAAATTACTTTCTAAAGAATATATTGTTATTACCAACATTATTAATCATTGATAGCTTGATCATAAATAACCTTAGAAACCATCATCTCAATTGTTTATCATGAAAATCAACAGTAAATTTTTATTACAATTAACATAATATTTTTGTGTATACATAATTTTGAAATCAAAATTTCAGCATTAATTACAGCACAAACTAGTATCAAAGTAAATGCTGATCATGTATACCTTTGTAGGGCAAAAAGGTAATAAGAACAAGCACCAATTATAATATATTGTGGGCACACTGTAATATCTCAATTTCATAAGAAAATAAATCACATTCCACTATCTAGTTATTACTAACCTATTCTAGGATGCCAGGTGGCCTTGAAATAGTCCATAAATTTGGATTCATCAATAAACTCTTCCATGAATTCTTCAAACAGTGACATGTTTCCTTGAAGACGGCAAATATTATCCATTATGCACCCAAGCCGTCTGGATATCTTTATTTGCATATCAGATTCCAAACACTTTACTAAGTTTTTATGCCATAAATGACGGATCCGCCAGAAACTTATCATCACTGTACACTGAAACACATCCCTGAAAAATATATAGAATATACATACTTGTTAGCCAGGAAGTTGTGATAAAACAAATTTCTTGAAATGATGCAGTAAAGCACAACAAGGTTTCATACTTCCAATTTCAAAATGGCAAAAAAAAAGACTTCTACGCCAACATTAGAACCAGCCATCATCAGTAATAGCATCACCAGAGATGAAACTACACAAGCATCCTAAAAAAGGGTCATGACCAGCATCAAAGACTCTTTCTAAGCGAGCAATTATTTCCAAAATTCAATTGTTTACCAAACAAGCACACAAGTTGAGTTTTGCAATAATAAGCCACAGCACCAAAGAATAATAAAAAAGATAAATTTTGCATTGGACAAAAAAACCAGAACAGGGAAAGATGTCACTAGATCATCTGAAGTCTAGTCCGTGTAATACATTCTATCCAACTTTTCAGAAAAAAATTAAATTCAAATGCGTCACATTCATA